GTCTGGTCATTCTTGGTTTGTAGAAGGAGCCGGGGATAGGGCACGGTGGAGATGATGTCTGCGGTGGGGGCTGTAGCGGCGGTGACGGGTCCAGCGGGATGGTGGCGGTGGTTGTAGGAGAACTTTTTCTTCTTTTTCTCTTAACATTTGTTGAATTTGGGGTAATATCTTGGAAATTTGATATAGTTAAGGGACTTATATGTAATTTTTAACCATTAATATATGTTTACTTCAATAAATGGGGAATTTTTTTATAAATCATTGAAAATAAGAAAATGCACAATAATAGTACATAAGATGCACAATATTGCCTGATGATACGCACATTAAGAAATTACATATAATTTTTTTTTATGTAATCATCGAATTGCATCTATCTGCACATCTAAAACTTTTCAATTCAACAAACATGATACCGCGCTTAGTGTTAACTGATCGAATCGAACGACCAAACTAACCGAGTCGAACATTTGAAAAAAATCAATCCAACGAAACTTCTTTCCCAAATAAAAAATAAATTGGACCGAAATTTGGCAAAAAACCGACATAACAGAAATTTTAATAGTAGAAATAGAAAATTGATCTGACGTATAACGATTTGAACTAAAATTTTAGATCGATCAGTTTCGAATGCTCTTGTGCATTCTAGAAAACATTATTGTGCAACTTATCTAACACTATCGTGCACTTCTTCGGTCAATATTGTGCCTTCTGAATCGACTGGACGTTTCTCTCAAAACAAATTGAAATTGAACTGAATTACTTCATTTATTTGGTCGGTTAATTTGTTTTCCTTAATTACTAAAAATATTTTATTACTTATATTGATCGTATATTTAGAATATCAATAATTCTGTTTAATATATTTATATTATTTTTTGATTGAAAACATAATATACAAACTACCGAAATTGATATCGTGCATTCACCCAAACAAAAGCACTGAATTGAGCGAAAAAAGAGTAGCATTCTGAAAATGCGACAACTTTTGATAGTTTATTTTTTTGCTTTTTTTTTACATAAATAACCGAACTTTTAAAAATAAAAAATAGAAAACTAACCTAAAATATAAAAATTCGAACATAAAAATTTAGTTACGTTGATGTGGTGCAATCTTTGAGTCATTAATGTGCAATTCGTATATTTATATTGTGCACAGTGTTGGTCGCTATTGTGCAGTCTAACATTATGGTGCATTTTTTATTATTTCGTCTCGAATCAAATTAAAGCTAAACCGAAATATTTAATTTATTTTTGCATTTAATATTGGTATTTTTTAATGTGCATTTCTTCACCTTATGTGCATTTTATATAATATTTAATATAGTTTCATATAATATATAATATATTGGTATTTCTAATAAGCATTTTCTACACTCAATAATATGTATTTAATGTAATATTTTTAATAATTCATTAATCTTTTGTTANGACGGATGTGGCGATGATTATGGTTGCCGCGATGGTGGGTGTAGTTACGTCCGTGCGCGTGTGTGGATGGTGTGTGCGATGAGGGCGGTGGCAGCGGGCGACGGGTGGCAGCCGACGGCAGACAGTTGGCGGCGGTACGCGGGGCCGTGTTGTGTGTGCATTGTGTGTGTGCGCGTGTCTGAGAGAGTTTGGGGTGGGGTGGGGTGGATGAATTGTCTGGTAGGTGGGGGTTAGTTGGCAGGTTCAATAATTTGGAGTGGGTCCCAATTTTGTAGATGTGTGGAAAATTACAGTAATAATCTTAATGAAGATATATTTTTATGTACCAAAAAAAAAATGAAGATATATTTTTTACTTTTTTATAAGTCCAGATCATCCGATCCAATGGCTACGATGTATTCTCATTTTTTTCATTGAACATCATTCTCATCAGAGCGTGACCCATATATATATATACGTGTACTACACGGGTACTTGTTAAGAGAATTATATTTAACATTAAATAACAATAATAACAAAATTTGTTTTAGCTTTTTAATTCTTTTTTTTTAAAAAAAATAAGACACCGTCATTCACACGACTTACCATTTTACATTATAATTGTTTTTAATTTACATCAAGTAACTACTTAATAGTTAAGTTTGTTTAAATAATTTTTTTTAATTAATATTAATAATTAATTTAATTTTAATTACATGTATTAATAAAAATATTTATTTATTTTGTATGCATAATATAGATGTCAATTCGAAACTCATCAAGACATGATTAATTTGATATATCATATATAAAAAAAATTATAAATAATTAAAAAATTTATTAACTTTTAAATATATTTATAATTTAAGTTAGTAAATTTGTTATAATTTTAAAAGAAATATGTGGAAAAAAGAAGATTTAAAAACAAATTATACCTTATAAAACAGTCTATAATAGGAAATGATATTAAAATATAATTAATGCTTTTAAAAAGGACCATAAATACCTAGTATATTTATGGATATTTCAAGCCTGGATACTTTTGGATAGGAAATAAATTAAAATTCATCCAAACCAAACAACAAAGCTTAAAATTTTGACACATAGGATCCCGAAACGTGCGAGTCTGGCCCATATACTCAGCACATTCGAAAATTATATATAGGGGGATCGTGAAATATTATAGTTTTAAAAAAAATATATTATTAAAGAATAACATTTCACAATCCCCCTATATATAATTCATGAATGTGTTAAATCTAAGTGGCAAGCTCGCACGCTTTTGAATTGTGACAAAATTTTCATGCTTTGTCATTTGGCTTGGATATTTTAATTTATTTCCAATCTAAAAATAACTAGGTTTGGAATATCCACATATATATTGAATATTTAAATTCATTTTAAGAGCATTAATTATGTTTTAATATTATTTTCTATTCTAGACGTTGTTTATAAGACATAATTTTTTTCTCCACTCTTTCTTTTATAATTATAAAAAAAATTAGTAACATAATATTGAATATATTTAAAAGTTCATAACTTTTTTATTTATTATCAAATTTTTATATATAATATATCAAATTAATCATGTCTTGATGATATTCGAGTTGACATCTGTATTGCACATTGTTGATATGCAAAATTTGATCAACATAGGAATTTCGTGAATTTTCGTATGATTATATGAACAATTGAAGAANTTTCTTCAGATGAGGGAGAGAGGCCTCCCTCAATAATTAAGACCTCTTCCTATTTATAGCCCCACAATATGGGCTTATGGGCCTATACAACATATTATCATAATATCATAATGTAAGTGTAATAATAAAATATGACCGCGTAGGGCCCAGTAATTATGAAGCTTGACGATTCCCATTGATACATGTCTTGTCTTTAACGTATGAAGACGGTTTTTTAGGGTATTCGGGTCGGGCTGGTGTAGACATGGCCACGGATTGGCCCGACCCGTAGCCCGACCCGTGAACTGGCCAGAAACTGGTCCTGGACCGGCCCGGAACCGGCTCGCCCTAGCCAGTTTTTGAACCGGCCCATAATCCCTTAAGGGCCGGTTAAGGGTCATGTGGTACCCACTTTTGACCCGCCGGGACGGGTTCGGATTTTCCGACGGGCCACAGTTACAAATTTATTTTTTTTTATTTTTCTATTTTTTTTTAACTGGCGGTTCACTGAACCGTCGGGCCGGGCCGGTCACGGGCCTAGGTTTTGAGACCCGCCGACCCGGCGGGCCGGGCCGGTTTGGTCCATGGCCCGTTGACTGGCCACCTCTAGGCTGGTGATATTAAATTCTGCTCGGCACAGGCGTGGACGGTCTTGACGTTTGAGGACTCGTTCGGTCTTTTAAGTCATCACTCTTGAGAACCTTTTTGTATATTTATTTAATATATATTTTAACCTTTGTTTATTTTTTCGCATATCGCATTTTTATTCTTTGAGGCCAAATTGTGTATCAACATACATAAAAATAAATAAACAATTATATTTATCTTTATTATGAAAATTAAATTATATATTAATATTACTTGAAAAAAAAATTATTTGAATTAATTTAATTACAAATTAGTTTTAGATATAAGTTAAAAATTCACTATAATATAAGATGTAAGTAGTATAAGTGACGGATGTCATAAATAAAAATATAATTTTTTTTTAATATTTGAATTTTTTTTTTAATTTTAATTTAAAATATAAATTTCTTAACAAGTAACTATGTAATACACTGTACTTATTGTAATATTAAGTATATGTTTTTGTTCAAAATACTGTACAACCTTCTTATCCATTACCCCACATCAGAGCAACTATTCTGAAAAAATTGGAATTGGGCTAGGAATAGTTATACGCACTTTCACAATGTCATTTCTTGTACTTCTGTTAATGAAAAAAAGAAAAAAAAATATATCTTCAGTTCTTACTTAATTTGATGGACAGAATTTCCCCCAATTTTAAAGTTATATGATGTTTCCTTTCCTCATAAACTTTACCGGGAAAATGACGAGAGAAAGAACATGGTGCAAAACTAACAAACGTACAATAGCGACAAAACCTAGCAAATCAAATTAATGAAGTTCACAAGAAACAGAGTCAATCGGCGCTGGCACATGTCACGACAGACGAGGTGGTACAATTTTATTGAAAACAAATGGGCCACCATATAATACAAGCCACAAGATGTGTAGAGTGTCTAGAATCAACTTGTATACATATATTCTAGAAATCTCAAGGCCAAACTCCGCCGTCCAACGCCAATATAATATAGTATCAAAGTTTAAAAAGCAAACTGTCCGGGGGATTAATGTATGAAACTGTCCGGGTTTGTTCATTCAAATATATATATGGTAAAAAATTACTAATCAACGTGGATAAGCCAGTTTTAGGATACGGTTAAGTGAATTATATGATAGTATCAATATGCATCAATTACTTTCTTCTCTAGTGACTACCATTCAAATTTGGGTTCTGCCAGAAGAAAATAAAGAAAAATTAAAAGGGAACACAAGAAAAAAAATCAGATCTTTCTTTCTTTTTCGTTTATATGTCATTAATTATATCAGTGNTCTACAAAAAAAAAAAAAAACAAAAACAAAAACAAAAAGATTGAACTTTCAGCCAGTGGTGTTAACAACATACTCCATCAAAGATCCAATGGCAGACCCTAACAAAATCATTCATTTCATTTGGGGCAATATGTTCCCTACCATTTTCAAATTCAGGATTAACTCAACATACGTCCCAAAGATCATCTCAAATTCTTGGACAATTTAATTCTTCTGCTAATTTCTTTTTCCAACTCTTCAAGTCCTCCTACGTCTTCAAGTTCCTGCACCAAATCAAAATATCGATGTCAATGAGAAAGCATGATAAAGGTGTGTGTGTGTGTGTGTCTGTGTGAGAGAGAGAGAGAGAGAGAACCTTAGGTCCTAGAAACAATCCGTATGGGACTCCATTGAACTTGTCCGAGTGATGAAGCTGAAGACCGAGACATCAAAATCAAACAAACATCAATATATTACTACAAAGAGCCAAAAAGAAAGACATACAATGCAAAGAAGTAGGTTTCATTAAAATGATCACGACAATACAAATAATCCCAAAAAGATGCATTATCAAATATAAATAGATGAGATTACCCATGCTTATAGATATTATTGCACCATAAAACACAAAATTTTCAAATCTTACCTGGTGGGCTGATGCTACTCTCCTAAAATAGGGCACATTTGCAATGGGCCCAACTGGAAATCTCTTGTGGACGAGACCATCATGGACGAACATGTATGCCATGCCAAACACCGTAATTCCAAGACCCTGCATTGCGTACAAGTTTGTTAATTACCATGAACATGAATATTTCTGTCCATGTTTTTGTCAGTGCAGGAAATACATCAAAGAGCAACCCAAATGATATAATGTACAAATTCCACATATATGGTTTGGCCTAATCTACAAATAACAGAATTTTATCTTTAATATTTATGAGGTCCTTTCTGTTAGGTACTCAAAATAAGTTAAAGCTGTTCTCCAACAACATTTGCAGCTGAAAACTTTAGCCACAAATAGAAAATATGGTTTTCGCAGATAATTTTAAAATTCGACAAACTAGATATCACAATGTAGGCTACTTTTATATTAATAATTCGGGAACAATTGAAGCTGTCAGGATCAAGAGCATAATTAGAAAATTGGTGAACAATATTTTGGAAAGTCTGAGATGCTTTCAATGAGAAGAGATTCAATAATTCTGATAAAAAAATTTAGGTATGATGAATCATATTTTGGGAAGTCTTGGGGCTACAGCCTTGCCAAAGCTATGAGTTTCCACCTAATAGCATAGGAAAAGATTGGAAACGATTACTCACACCACCAAAACAGAGGCCGGGCACAAGGCCTTTGTGGAAAAAGCCATATGAGAGGAGGGCTATGGCAGGTACAGCATTGATTATTGCGAAAACATCGTTAAGTTCAAAGGGTCCTTCTCTTGGTCTATGGTGTGACTGCAATCAAAATGGGGAGACATGTTAATTCAGGCAATCAGACTCTTGAAAATTCATTAATTTCAGAAGAGGATACCAATGCCTACAATTATGAGTGATTATTTTTTTTTCCTTTTTTCTTTTTTTGCAGGTTAAACATTTAAACTTAACCTCGTGCATGTGCCACAATGAAGCATGCCACAGAGCTTTGTGCGCCCATCTTGCCCAGAACTCCATGCCCACCTAAAAATCAACAATTTGATCAATATCAGAAAGAGAATAACTAAAGGAATGGAATCCAACATAGTTTGAATCACAAATTTATCTATAATTAATTTCAGACTGCATAAATATTATCCTCCCAAAAATAATAATTGTTTGTCAAGAAACTCACAGCAGCTCCAACAGAGAGAGCAAATGTACCGAACATTTCTGCGTAAGGTACCTCTCCACCCTGCGCCACAAAATTGATCAATCAACATATGAACATAAATTTGCCCCATCCTAAAATATACTGTCGCGTAAATAGCACAAACCTAGAAAGAAAAATTATTTTCTTCAAAACAGAATGGCAATAAACACACAAATGGTAAGTCTCTATAGATTATCCTCAATTGCTTAACCGATAATTTGTCCAAATATCTCGATCTAAAAACCTTGAATTAATAGCTCAAGCAAAGAAATGGTAAAAGCAAGCACGAAATTCGGGGATGTAATAGAAGCTAAAAATGGAGCAGTGACTCACCTCCATTTGCCAGGCAAATCTGTAATAAACAGCCATTACCGCCATGGAAGTGATCCCGAAGCTCGACATGACTGCCGCCACCAAATAAGTGAACCTCTCCGATTTCTTCCGCGCCATCTTCTCCGCCACGGCGGCAGGGGAGGCGGCGGAGGCTTCAACCGCTCCTCCACCTTCCTCCTCCGAATGGACCGATTTCTCAGTCTCCAGCACGAAGCACACCGTCAAATTAGGTCTCCGACTGCTGCTTTCGCGCCACGACATCCCCCGATATTTCCGGAAGAAGCTCGTGTGCCGCAAATTAGGCGGCTCGACTACCGGAACGGGCCTTGGGACGAGAGACGGGCCGCGCCTGAAACGGGCCGCGGTGCTGGAGGCGAAAGAAATTCCGGCCGCCATAGGAGCTGCTTCGGTTTGCGGCTGCGAGTACGCAAATTGAGATGGGATTTTCAGGAGCAGGGATTGGAGAGGGGTTGGCTAGGGGTGTTCACGGTCCGGATTGGTCCGGTTTTAGCCCAAACCATGACCAAACCGGACCTAACGGTTAATTTTTTTTCTTGTCCATAACCGGACCGGTTTTATTTTTTAACCAACCACAATCCGAACCGCATTGGACGGTCCGGTTTGGCGGTTAACCGGTTAAATCCAAAACTTGTTTTGGGCCTTCAATTTTTATTTTTTTCATTTTGGGCTTAATTTTTGTTTTTCAATTTTGGGTCCTAAAGAGATTATTTGGGCTTAAAAATTAAGAAAAACAACAATAATGAAATAAAAAGTACACAATTCGTCTCATAAGCATAAAAATGCACATTTCCTCCCATAAACATAAAAATACAAAAATGATGAAGATTAATTATGCAAACTGAACTCAAGCAAACATTCATTTTTCAGTCAGTTTATACACCTGAAATAATAAGAGCAAAGCATTCATAGTGAATGTATTGTATTTGCCGGCCATAGTGAATGACTGAATGTATATATATATATATATATATTTGTTATAGTTTTTTAATATTTACCGGTCCGGTCCGGTTAAACCGGCGGTTTGCCGCAGGTAATCCGTTAACCGGACCGGTTATTCCGGATTTTTAAAAAAATTAACCACCGGATTTTTTAAGACTTTTTTAACTAACCATTTAACCAATCCGCGGTCCGGATTGACGGTTTTTTCCGGTTAAAATCGGACAGTGAACACCCCTAGGGTTGGCGAGACATAGGCCGCATGTTAGGTCTCTGGCATTGTCAAGTGTGTGTAGCTAAATACAGAGAAAAGAGGTATGTATGTGAGTGTGTATGCGGGTGGCTGTACAGATTTGGTTTTTTGCGCTTTTCATGATAAATTAAAATTAAAGTGATATGAGGGAAAATGGGGCTGCCTTTCTCTCATATTGCGGAACTGCCACTTTTTGTGGAGGGTGAAATAGTTCGTCTTCATCGGTCATTTTCATTTCTACCATAGTATCGGTACTATTCAAGTCCATCCGATGATCCGAATCAAGTAATTCGTATTTTGAGTTCATGCTCGTTCGTTCTACTTGTTTAATAAATGACTCAATAATTTGGTTCGAGCTAATCTCTTTCAGGGTCATGAAAGCTCAACCCGTTTAATGAATTTAAATCTTTAAACGAGTTATTCGTGGACATAAAATTTCTATTTGCGAACAAGTTCGACAAAATTGTTTCTTAAAATTAATAAAAATAAAAATTATAATAAAACGAGATTGTTCACAAACAAAATTGGTTCGGCTTGTTTAAAGTCGATATCGAGCTTTTACGAATGATACTGAGTTGTGTTCACGAACGACTTGATTCGTTTAACAACTTTGCCTAGACTAGATCAACCCAGCCGACTGGTGGATCTTTTGAACTAATCAAATCCAAAAACAAATAAATTATACATCTCCAGTCACACCGTCGCTAGTCACACGCCTCACGTCGCACCCTGTCGAGTCAGACTCCAGCCGATCGTCGGTGTTATTTGCAAACCCTTGACCTCTTGGCCGCCTCTGTTAGTGGCGTCCTCGTTAGAGACGTAGTCGCGCCACTCGATGGAGCTCTGCATTCAAGTCGTCGCGCCACTCCCACATTTCTGGACACGCCGCCGTTAGTCGCGCGATCCACATTGCTTCCCGTCGAGTCAGGCTCTAGCCTATCATTGGTATTGTTTGCAGGCCCTTGACCTCTCGCCTGCTGCCATCCACGAAGCTCCATCGTCCTATAGTCGATGTTTCTCAGATCTGAAGTCGAGATGCTTGGTGGATTGAGAAGATACACCAATTTCAAATTGCATGAATGACCTTTTTCAAATTGCACAAATATCATGATTTCATTCATAATGTTATCACATTTCATTTCTTTGCACAATGATACACGAATTCTAAAAACCGATCATTAGTGCTTATGTGTCCGATCAACCTTTAATTATGTGAAATAAAAAATTGACGTGCGAAAAATCGTTCGACATGTAAAGATGATTCAATCCCATGTATAAATGCCACGACCTCTCTCCCCCATTCTCAACAATTTTCGAATCGGCCAAAATTCCCTTTTCTAAACCCTAATCTCAATATGAAATCAATTTTCTTCCAATGGTGGTCCCCCAAGTGCAAATCATGCTTCAACAATGAAAAACAGGTAGTCCAGTGCATTCTCTTTTATTTTCCTTGTAAGATTCTTATTGGAAATTCAATAAAAATATTCTTAGGGTAGTCCAGTGCATTAATCATTACGATTAATATTATGCAATGTGTGTTGTATTACAAAACCATTTTTATTTGCGGCACATTGCATAACATTTTTGTTGATGAGAACTTACCAAGTGGACATTTTTTAGTGGACATTTTTTAAGGAAAAAAATAAATAAAGTTTAAAATATGTGACTACACAAAAAAAAATTCAACATTAAAAAAAACATAACAGTCCAACTAAATACACAGTTTTATATCGCTAAATCGTTTTACAATTAAGAAGCTAAAAGAATAAATCATTAAATATATTTTCAAAAACTTATCTAGGAATGAAAAATATGATAATTGTTAGTACATTTTTTAATAAATAAATTAAAGCAACATAAAAAATAAATTTTAATTATTAATATATTGTAAGGATTTTTTGCATTTTTATACATATTTTATAGTATTTTCTTTATATATATATTTATATTAGTTTTCTTTATATATATATATATATTTATTTATTTATAATATTTTCTTTATATATATATATATATATATATATATTGATTTTTTCAAAAAGATGAGGGGGGCCCGTGGGCCATATATGGCTCCGTCTCTGTGCACAGTATTGAACTTATCGAAATAAATCCTAACGCAGCGGAATCTGTAGTTAGGATTAGGACTTTACCTTTTAAAAGTTTTTATCGACTCAGAGTTGATGGAGATCGTCTGTCTACCACAACACAACCCAATCGGTTGAAGGGTTTGGCCTTTGTCGATTCTAATCGAGTGTTGAATCACGAACGGATCACCGGATCAGGTTTGTCGGGCTCAGGTCGGTTCGGATCACGTCTCGGGTTGATCGTAGTGACTTGATACTTTTTCCTAATTGCTTCTCCACAACCGCCTAATACTCTAAGAATTTCTCAAAGCATTCAGACTTGCGGTGCAATAGAAAAATGTACCCATATCTCGAGTAGTCATCGATAAACGTAAGGAAGTACTCGAAACCACCTCTCGCTTGAATAGACATAGGACCACGTAGATCGGAATAAACTAGCCCTAACAAATCTTCGGCTCTATTCCCCTTTGATTTAAAAACCCTCTTAGTCATTTTGCCTTCCAGGCAAGACTCGAAAGTTGGAATAGCCTCGACTTCCAACAACCCCAAGGGCCCGTCTGCTACCAACCTTTGAATCCTTCTAAGGTTTATATGACCAAGTCTTAGATGCCAAGATATGTTTCATTTATTTTCGAAGCTTCCTTTCTCTTATTCAGATGAATTAAGTAATTGTTTTTGTTGCAGTGGAGATGACTTTGATTCTAAAATATATAGATTGTCTACTAATGAACCTCGACATATGAACTTTTTTCCAAAACGAATAATAACTTCACTTTCAAAAATAACAGAAAAACCGTTCATAAACAACTTAGAAACTGAAATCAAATTCTTTCTAAAACTAGGAACATAAAGACAATCTTTCAAAACCAAAGTTCTATCTAAACCAAAATCTAAATAGACATCTCCCACTGCAACTGCTGACGCTCTACTAGCATCGCCCAAGTAGATGGTAACTTCTCCTTCCCTAAGCCGTTTGGTTTCCTGGAACCCCTGCAAAGAATTGCAGACATGATCAGTGGCTCCTTTATCTACACACCAAGTTCTGGTAGATAACACCGCTAAACATGTTTCAACGACTAATGAAAAAGATGTACCTTTGTCGCCTTCTTGAGGAGAGGGCAGTTGGCCTTCCAGTGTCCCTTCTGCTGACAGTTGTGGTACTTGCCTTTCGGCTTCTTTGCAGCTTTTTGAGGTCGCGTGTCACTCATGGCCGCTTTGTCCTTTCCTATGGACTTCTTCCCTTTCTTACCCTTAGGAGGCCTAGAAGAAGAACCTTCATCCCGATGGGCGGCCATCGCTTGAGACTTGTGATGAAACAGGCCCTCTGCCGACTGAAGTTCAGCAACAAGTTCCGGAAGAGTCATTAACATCTTATTCATGTTATAATTCAACTGGAATTGTTCGAAGCTCTTCGGCAAAGACTGGAGCACTATATCGACCTGGTTTTCCACGTCAATAAAAGCTCCAAGAACCTCCAGCTCATTCAGCTGGGCCATCATAGCAAGAACATGATCCCTTACGGGAGTGCCCTCACGCATGGTCATATTCATCAGAACCCTCATGGCCTCTTGTCGGGCAGCCCGCGACTGATGACCAAACAGTTCCTTGAGATTGAGGGTATATCTGCCGCAGTGTCCATAGACTGATGTTGATGTTGAAGTACATTTGACAAAGATGCCAAGATGTAATACTTCGCCATCACGTCAGCCTTTTTTCCACCTAGGATACGCCTCTTTCTCATTGTCTGGCGCATTATCAGCAGACACATCCAGACAAGCCTCAATAGTAGCAAATTTGTACCCTTCAGCAGTTAACACTATATTCAAGTTCCTTTTCCAGTCAATGTAATTGGGACCAACAAGTTTGTTTTCTCTGAGAATTACGGACAACGGATTGAAAGACATTTTGAATTCCTGGGATCACGTAAACATAGTTTTTACTCAGTCAAGTGGTTTTGAATTTAACATCAAATATTGATCCCTACAAACAATATTCAAATAAATTCACCGACACCTCAAAACACCGAATCCCCGTAGGCTACGGAGTGTGGACGTCTACGGTTCAAGCTGTCGCAAGAGAAGGGATTAATCCCATTAATTAACATACCGTCCAAATAGTACTTAATTAATAGTCGGTTCATCTTTTGGCCAGCGTAAAAATAAAAACAACCTTTTCCTTTGGGATTATAGTAATTATTTGCACTTTAAGTGTAACCCATTAATTGGTACCAAGTTTACTACCAAAATTATACGTCCACCTTTGGATGACCCGTACGCTTTTGAAATAGCTCGCTACTACCATCCCGAAGGAGATCTGTCCTTGTGAACTGTGAAATAAAACGTCCTTTAGGCTCGATTTAAATCACTTCACTGACAAACCTATAATGGAGGCCTTGGATGCAATTTATTTCAACCCATACACACTTAATATAATTTTATTTTAAGGGATTTTCCTAGACATGCTCCTAACAAGTTAATTTGCACATAGAGCAATTAAATCACATAAGAACATGCATGATTAATAGCAATAATAAACTAGGAACTATAATCTAACTATCATGGCCATTAATCAATCTCCAATATTACAGAGAGACACAATCCTGTCGTATGTTGAATGTGTCTTCCGTTTCAGGAATTGGAACACCCCTTTCGCAGTGACTCCCACTCTTAATTCTGAATTGATCGTCTCCGGGAAAGTTGCCATTGGATCATCACCATGGCATCCGTCTTTTGTGTTTGTTACCTCGCCCCGTCGAGTTTGATCCACATCTGCCGGATCAATAATGAATAATATAAAACAACAATTACATAATTCATCCGATGACCCGCGCAGGAGTCGTACATGAGTTTTCTATAAAAGAAGTAACTATGCAGTGTCCCACCACGCGAATAATTTATTACAAGCATTCACCAACCCAAAAACTCCTCGACATGTCAGAGGCTTATAAAACACCATACATTCATACATGAATTAAAATCATACATACGGGCCATAATAGTCGGATTCGAAATCACCTGCAACCGATTTGCAATTTCTAATCTACTATGTCGTTGCGTCCGTACACACATAATTCATGTCAACAGGCAAGTCCTAATTCAAACTGTGCACAAAGTTGAATTAATCTGGGCTCTGATACCAGTTGTTGGGTTCTATGAGGAACGCCAACGACATGCACAGTATTGAAATTATCGAAATAAATCCTAACGCAACGGAATCTATAGTTAGGATTAGGACATTACCTTTTAAATTTTTTTACCAACACAGAGACGTTTCTGATTTTCGTTGATGGAGATTGTCTGTATACCACAACCCAATTGGTTGAAGGGTTTGGCCTTTGTCGATTCTAATCGAGTCTTGAATCACAAACAGATCACCGGATCAAGTTTGTCGGGCTCGGGTCGGTTCGGATCATGTCTCGGGTTGATCGGGTCGCACCGGCTGGATCGCGAACAGAAGCTGGTCGGGACCATGTAGCGAATGTCGCGGATGCTGGCTGGTCGCGTCGGGACGTGACGCGCGAAGCAGCAGGTCGCGAAGGAGCACGAGCGTGCGCTGTGGACTGGAGTCCTAGGTCGATGCGGATTGGGCGGATAGCGTGTTGCGTCACACGTGTGTGCTGGGCAAATCTCCTGGGCGCGTGAGGAATCCTGGCCGAGCGAGGACTGTCGGGCGCGTGAGACGTGTGCGCTGGGAGGCGGATCGTCACTGGGCACGAGCAAGGCGATCGGAACAGCGTCACGGTGCTCGCAGCTGGGATCTGTTCGCGAGATACGGCTTTGCGCGATTGCAGGCAGGGCTCGTGGTTGCGCGCGGCTAGACTCGGGGTGGATCTCGGTCACGATCGACGGCGGCGGCGGTTTTCCGGTGGTGGTCGACGGTGGTTGACGGCAGCGGTCGGCTGAGGAAGATGGTAAAAAAATATGGATGTATAAGGCTTGATCAATATCACCTTAAAATCTTCTAATGGATTACCTAAATACCTACTTCAATTAATCTTGTTGGTGCGATTAATTGAATCTCCCTAACTCTCGAACAAGACTATTTTTCTCTCTTGGAAGAAGGAAAAATCGCCTAACATAAAGCATGTACAAGAGGTTGGGACATGGTGTATTTATAGGCTCCATTAGGGACCTTAAGGAGGTGCTAAATATGGGCTTATCCCATTAGGCAAAGGAATCCTAATTCCACTCCATATGCTAATCCATTCTAGGATAAAACTCCTTCTTCCCAACATCACCTTCTAGAAGACTCTTTAGTCTTCTAACCCTAGGTAATATTCTAGAAGGAATATTCTCCTACTAATGGAATATTAAATATGGAATAAAATTAATTCCTAAAATCTTAATGAGAATTAAATAATAATATATCCCACTAGAATATTATTATTTCTCTCCCCATTTAGTTCCAATTTATTCAATTAAATCAAACCTCCACTTGATTAATAAATATTAATCTAATTGACCGATTCACCTCCCTATGTTTAAGATATAACGTCCGTCGATTAATTAAATTACTGGAAAAGTAACTAATCAACTTCTTATTAATTTCCGAAATTAGTGTCACTCAGATCTTTAATCATTATGTCGGATAAACATCCACCTGCAGGGTTTAACTTAATATTCCTTCTTGAGCTCATTTCGGGGACGTCATCAATCCAGCGCACTGGAACATAGTGACCGTAAATAATTTATAATAGCACGCTATATAAACATCCTCATCTACCAAAGTACCGAGTATGTCATCCTAACAGAATAGGAATCACCCTTGGTAAATTAAATAAACAAGTAATGAATATACACGCCTATTTTGTATTATCTTACAGATTTAGAGAACCCATCAATGACTGAAGGTATAGATTACAACAACGGTCAGTGAGTCTCATAATCTTATCCTTCCGGCAGTCCTGTTCAATACATAACATAAGTACTAGTGTAGCTCTCCAGTCAAAGGTCAACTGAATCAAGAATACACTACAGTCTTTTTCTAAGTGGGGTCTCACTACCAGTCTAGACTGTGAACGAATAATTTAGTCTTACAAGGAACCGATAGCTGACCTTTTTGTTCGAGACACCACGAACCACACTATCTCAATGTAAGATAAGGAGTATGACTGCATAAATAAATAAACTGCAAGCATATGTACTTTGACTAAAACGCGATTGCCAGATCAAAATGGTATTATAAATATCTAAAAGCCAAGCTTTTACAGCATATCTAACAGGAAAACAGTTACTTGTTTTGATGATNATAATTTTTTTTTTTTCCAAAACGATAGATATATTATAAATCAAAATGCACAAATGTGCGAATACACAGCAGTCAACGACTAAATACACAGCAGCCAACAGCTGAAAAAAGTGGGAGGCCAGGTCAGAAGACCGCCTAGAGTCCCGACTAGCAACGCTAGAATAAAACTCGCAACTACTATTAACCAACTAAAATAACTAACAACAACTAAAAAGACCCCAACAGAGTAATTCCCAAGTGTCGGATCCCAGTGGGATAATAAGGTGACACTCGGGTTCACAGAGGCCAAACAGCCCAGACCAAAAACACGAGACAACAAAGAGAACAACACAACCTACCAGAAACATAAAAAACACCTAAACAAGCTACAACTAATTAACATCCCTCCCTCAGCAGAGATCTCCAAGATTGCCGTCGAACAAGCCTACTACAGGATTAATCCAAAGCACAGGAGCCCCGCTCACCACTGCCAAAGGCCTAGCGAACACGGAGACCCAAGCCCCAAAAAACTCCCAATAGCAGACCCTTACTCCAATCACAGAAACCACACTCATCCCCAACCCAACAAACACCACAAGCCGAGTGCAGAGCCAACCCGAAATCACCGAAACCTCAGCGCATCCGGAAGCTGGACAGACACTCAATAATCGAGACATTGTCGAAAAATGTGGAAGAGTCAGTTCCAAGCCCAGCCGCCCCACCCAGACCGATAGAAACAGCCACGACCCGCCAGAATAGATAAGGTACCCGTCGACCACAACCAAAAACAAACCGAGACAAATCGGCAAAAGTAAAAGGCAGCCATCTCACAAGCCAGTGAAAAACTCACCTCCCACAGTCGCCAAAACGCCGGCGGAACAGACCCGTGTTGATCGACGGCGAGATAGGTCCGAAAGCCAATCGAGCATACCTTAAATCCGGAGGGGAGTACCGAGCCAATTAGTCCGACCACAGCGACCAAGACCTTACCCACTCACCTGCCACCGTCCTCCGCCCAGCCCAAGACTGTCGAACCTCTTAAATGGCGTACGCAGAAAAGGGGATCTGCTACCCCTAGGAAGATCCGATTTCGATGGGAACGGGAGGGACAAGGCCGAATCATGGGTGAATGGTGGAGCACATTCTCCGACAATCCCGGACTTCCACCGGGGGAGAACCGGAAGCGCGAGCAGAAGACCAAGTGCGGCGATCGTTTTCGTCGCGAGAGAGAAATGGGGTTGAAAATGAAGACTACACACATGATGAAGAAAGTTTTAATTAAGATGGGCTATAAACTAATGAGCTTTGCACTGATGATGAAGAATATTTGAATACAGAGTGAAAGAAATGCTTTTAGAAAAATATGTACCTAATGATAGTGAGGATGTGAACTTTCCTACAGAACCACATGAATATTTGTCTGGAAGTATATTGCAGACTAGAAGAGATGAAGTTTCTGACTATGTAGACGCCCAAGATTAAATCAACACTGGTTCATCAGCTCTGAGGAACCTAGTGGTGATGATGTAGAACTCTGAAGGAATAAGAGGAAAAAATCTATGTTATATGAACCTAATGTGACCACAAGACTTTTGATTTTGAATTGAGGATGAATTTGAAAGTATTTCCCATTGTAGAGATGTCATCCAATCATATTATATTCTCAATGTGAAGTAGAACTGCCATTCAAATTGAGGCCAAGTGTGTTGAGTTATCCTCCAAAGCTATATACAAGCACAATAAAGGCAAAACTAGAATCAAAATATTGGTGTCTAATCACAATTGTTCTACTGACATAAACAAGCTAATGTCAAATGGGTTGCAAAGGAATATTTGAACAAGTTCGGGAAAAATCCAAGAATGAAAATTTTTTACCTTGAAGATCACATCCTTGTGAGGTTTGGTGTGCAACCCTTTAAGTGGAATCCAAAGGTGGTTTGGTATAGTTGCTCTTTTCGAGTGTTATCTGTTTGTAATAATGCGTTCTATTTATGAAAGTCTGCCGTTTGAATAAAAAAAAAAAGAAATATGTTAGGCTAAATTACATAATTATGCTCTTTTGGTTTCACTTTTACATATACAAGAGTATTTTTAAAAATACCAAACATGATCTTTTACTTATATAATTCATAATCTATATAAGGTATTGCTTTCATTAGGTAATGGGCCACTTCTGTTTTCTATTTCAATAAGTTAAACCATGACAGACATATAATAAATGTCAAATTGAAACGGTGTAATACATAAAATGCAGTCAAAGATAGATCATTTATGGTGAGCATTATGTTTGGTAAAACTAGCTGATAGCTGACAAGCTAGATTATAGCTTATATGTAATTGTTTAGCTTATAGCTTATAGCTTATGACTTATAGCTGAAAAATTAGTTTAGCTATCAGCTAGTTTTACCAAACATAGCCTATATGATAAAAGTGTTTAGTAAAATTAGCTGATAAGCTAGACGAAATAAAAAATTTAACTAGCTTATTTGAAAAGTTACCTAAACTAGCTTATGAGATAAGCTCGAACTTTTTAAAAAAGCTCGTTCTACCAAACGAGGCTTATTTGATTACAAGAAGCTTATAAGGTAAGCTATAAACTAGCTTATTTGGTTTACCAAATATAGCCTAAAATAATAAATGGATACAAAAGCATATGGTATGTCTAACCTCATTCCTAAAAACTTGATGGAATCTCTNCACCTTTAAAACCATTTCTCTCATATTCTTCTCTTATCAACTCTCAATATTTTGTCTTTCAAATTCCTCTCATATTAATTCAATTGTAAAACTGAGTCTCAACATTTTGTCTTTCAAATTCGTCTCATATTTAAAAATTCTATGGCGCCCATACGGGCGCCATAAGTCATGCCACAATATGATGTGTCATGTGAGGTGGCTTTATTAATTATAATTATTTATTCCTACACGGCACATACTAAACAAAAGGGCAGAATTTTTGTCAACGCTATTTTACCTTCTTCCTTCGACACAGGGACTTTCTTTCTCACAACTTAAATACCAAAAATCAACTAGTGGTTTGACATTCATCTAGGTAATTACAGAGTTTTGTAATATATATTATCACTTTTTTTGCCTGCTCCAAGCAATTGATTCCATATCAAAGTTTCACATCAGTAGAGAGTGAATGCCACTAGAAACAAGAAAACACTAAAGACGAAAATCAAAATAATTAAGGACAACAAGGCAAAATCATCAATAAAATATTTAAATGCATTGAGCAAAGCCCCCTTTATTACAGTTAGGATCGATCTTTCTTCCCGTTACGCTTCAGATTTGCCAAAAGATCAACCAATTTAAATAATAAGGAATCTAACATTAATGTTTCAGATTATAAAATCACACACTTGCAGAAAGCTATTTTTGCAGAAAGCAATTTTTGTATATACTGTAAGTACTAAGCTACGAATTTCATTCCAATTGAAAACAAATTTCTTGCTTACGTGTTGTGATAGTCGAAGCAACAAAAAATGACTCCCTTATGTAAAATATCGTTTGGCAAAAACTCTGCCCTTTGTTTAGTATGTGCCATGTAGGAATAAATACTATAATTAATAAAGCCATCTCACGTGACACATCATATTGTGGCATGACTTATGGCACCCGTATGGGTGCCATAGATTGTCCCCCATTATTGCCTCATCTTACCAAGGCACATGATTCCCCTGGCCTTCTTGGGGATCGGGCAATTGTGTCGGGACACCTTGTGATAGTGGAGCGAGCTGAGGGCCACTCACAAAAGTTGACACCTGACGCACTGGAAAGCTCATGGGTGGATTACCACCTGTAGGAATATTAGTATTCCTCACACCAAGTAGATTAAGCCGTTAGAGTAGTCGGTGATGTGATCAGCCTCGAAAACCCTAGTGGTGGCACAACCGTAAAGGATGACTAGCCACCCAATAAGTTTCTATGAAATTTCAAGCTGAATTCTTCCTCGTAATATCATCGTCAGCCATCTCATCTCATCTGTTACGGAAATAAATAAAATTCGGGTGAAGATTTCCAACAGAAGATGCCAATTTGATACACATCAAACCTTCAAAACCAACTTTGTCATCCCAAACCAACCCTGATTAACCTACCAAAGCTAGGGGAGAGATTTTCGGCGTAACCACTGCTAATCTCAAGTCATTACGAAATCCAAAGAGAATCTCTACATAATACGCATAAGAGAATATTAGAAGTATGATTAGGTTTCCAACTATCAAAGATATATTTACCCTCAATAAATTACCTCCCCTCTGAGTTATAAGATACTCCATATCACCTCAATTTCAAGCAAGATCAGCATAAGAAAGAATCCAGTTTTTATATCACACAAGATCTTTCCTTATGAGATTCCCTCAACCAACTCTCCTTCCCATTCCAACCAATTCTCCTTTCTCTCTTAGGCCGATCTCTACGACTTGGATCAACATATTAGCTCAAACCTAATTATATCGTCCAAGAATCTTGGCTCGAACTGGTCCATCTTGCAACCTCTGCTAGACCTTTGCACCTATCACATCAAACTGTTCCTCTAAACACCTTATGTAGGTAGATGGTCTAGCTGACTACATCAAGCTTCAAGTGAATGTAGTATAACCACACTAAATCAGTAACATGACAACTAAGAAATCTTATCTACCTTTTCTTTGGTACCTAAGATATTCTAAATAATCAAACTAACACTACCTTTTCCTTTGGTACCTATTATATTCTAAATGAGCACACTAACACTCATCCTGAAATGGGACTCCAATAGAACTAGATTATAATGGAAAAGCTAAATGAGAATACTAAGAAAAACGGAATAACTAAAATATATAAGTATTATAAATGAATTTTAATAAGTCTTAAAGAAATCAACAAAGAGAGAAACTACAAGGGTGGGTGTGGCCCTCAATTTAGGGAACAATGTATCACCGACTATTCAACTTTGTGAATTTTAACGATGAGAAATACTTACAAGACAAGGGCAAGGACTACAAGTGCAAACAAGCCTAACTCAAACCTTGCGAAACAAGAATAGTAGGTTCACAACCTAGATGGAAATGAACAACCCATCGTGAACGGTTGTAGTGTTAACCGTACAATTGGTCTTGACTGATTAGTTACACTAGTACACCTCGTGTATTGAACGGATCCCATAGAGGAGAAGTTCGTTTTATACTGAACGTCGTAAATGAACTAGGCCTCGGTTAATTACTGCGTACTTTTAACTCATAAGATATAAACAGGCATGTGCATGCAGTAAATCTTTGATTCACTTGGGTGAGATTCAGTTTACTGAGTCAATATACTTATTGTTTTGGGCAATATTATTGTATGTACGATGTGCTGTTAGAATATCTACGGCCACCGTGTGCGATAGTTTGATGATGTCCCCGAGATGAACTCATGAAGGATTATTATGTTAAATCTGGCTAGTGGAATTTATTCCGACATAATAATAATGTGATGAGTAGTACTAGTATCGGTTAAGATGTCGATTAATTTAATTGTCAGTAATTAAATTAAATGACGGACATTATATCTTAAACACGGGGAGATAAATCGAGTAATTATTATTGGAGCTCGAATATAATTCGAGAATTAAATTGGGAGTTTATTCGATAATACTACTTCAGTGGAATGGATGTCCTATTCCTATTTGAGTTTGGTATGCTTGGCCTATAGTCTGATCCTAATAGGAGAAGCCCAATTTAATACCTCCTTGGGGTCCCTGTTGTAGCCTATAAATACATCACATCTTTTGGGTTAGGAGTAGAATTCCATTACTCACGTGAGACACAAAAGACGCCGCCCCTCTCTCTCTCTCTCTTCTATCTCTTATGTTCTCTTCTTCTTCTTCTCCAAGTAATCCCATTAAAGATATCTCGGATTTCATCGCCCACCAAGATGATCTGAGTAGATATCGAGTTATTCAACAGAAGATCTAATGTAGTCGAGCGATTTATATATATTTATCCAACCCCGTAAAATATATATTCAACCCCGTAATTTATATGTAATTTGCGGGATTGTCTGTTCTTCACGAAAAGCGAGAATTATGTTAATTGAATGTATTGGAATCGACCAGCGACCATCTCATGACGATCGACGACTTCTGGCGACCCTCCGGTCATTTTTCGGTGGCCACCAGCCAAGCCGGCCGGGCAGGCGAACTCCGGGGAGCCACTGCCGCGCACAGGCGCTGGCCAGTAGCAACTGGTTCGCGGCCCAGCAAGGTTGTTCAATTCCCGCGCCGCAGCCCAGAAGCCCGCCACATGTGATGCGCGCAGCCCAGTTGGCGTGGAGGCCCAACATCTGCGAAGCCCAACGCATGAAGCCCGCGAGGAGGCCCAAACGCGACGCAGCCCAACGGCGGAAGAAAATCGCGCAGGCCACACAGCCCGCGCGTGGCCCGCGCTCTGCACAGACTAAGCCTGCGCGTGGCCCACTTTTGCGCGGCCCAAATGCAGCATCTCCGTGGCCCATCACCATGTGCACGGCCTAGATGTCTTCCAATGTGGCCCAGGTGCTCCCAGCCCGCCGATATTATGACCACCTCGTGTCAGCTCAGCCCAGACGCGACCAGCATGCCCCAACTCAGACCAGAACCGGTTCAGAGTGGTCCAAAAGTTCCAGCAAGCCCAAATTGAGTCCCGGGAGGTTTGACCAAGTCGACGGAGGTCCGAGAAGATCCGACTTGGAAGGTGAGCTATCCGATGGTGATGGCGAGGCTAGTCCGGCTGCCCAACGGACATGAGACTCATACGATCTCTTTCAATGAAAATCAAAAACGTCTCAAAGTCGGCAAAACTAAAAATGGTATGCGTTGAACCCTCGCTTCTAGTTCCACTGCGCATAGGGTTTAATTCGTAGATAGTCCCGGACTTGCATAATTTCGAGATCCTACCCGGTCCCAACACTTTGCTTATAAAATTACGGTTATTTCAATTTGATGTCGACCATATTTTTTTAAAATAAATGAAATAACCAACTCAATTGAATTAATTGAAAAATATTATTATTATTATTTTTATTTATTTTATGTATTGTCAATGCACATTATGGTTATGCAAAATGCACGTTAATGACTACTAGATTGCATAATATCGACCAGACTAAAATCTTTGGTTTGAACTTTTATATTCCGATTCATTTATCTGTATTTATTCTTAAAAACACAGTCATCTCATGCCGGTTTTTGATTTTTAAGATTTATAAAATCACCGGACCGACAAAAGTATATAAAAATAATATTATTATATTTTCATATTAATAATAATAAAATTACATATATTAAAATAATATGTATTAATTATATTTGTATTAATTATACATTTAACCCATGTCCTCAATTGTAATATATTATATCTTTGTATAATTGCAAATAAGTCCCTACATCTAATCAAATTCTCAATATCACACCCCAAAATTTGACCCTCCACCACTACACCACCTGCTGCCATATCCACCACATCATAGTGATGTCCACCGCCGACGTTGGCCGGTGTCGTACGCCGTCGACGTTCACTGGCAACCTGACTGGCGAATGGAAAAATGACCAAGAAGTTCTCCTCCTTGAAGTGGCGGACGGCTGGACGTCGCCGGTGGCGGCAGGAACAGAAGATTGGGCAAGACCGGCGACGGCCATCTTGGTTGCACAGCCTTCTTCCGGTGGACAGATGAAGCTCTACATATTGGATCTCCGGCGGATGCATCGGGAGTTATGTGGCTGCAGGTGGGGTGTCGGCGACGTCCGGCGTCTGACGTCGATTCCGGTGAGCAGTATTGGCCGTCAATTTGGCGCCGCAGATCTATGTATGTAAAGTGTGTGTTTAGTGTGTGTTTAATGAAGTGTGTGTTTAGTGTGTGTTTAATGAAGTGTGTGTGAGAGACGTGCAAGTAGTGGGTAGGGGTGGGGGAATATGGGTATGATATTTATTATATAAGTGGGTCCCACTGCTATTATTTTTCATGATAATTTATCCCTAATAAGTGGTTAAATGCTAGTATTTGACCACAAATGTTACATTATTTCCCTTATCGTCATTATATATTTGACAGTATTATTAAAGTTTGACTTGATCATAACCACGGATTTGCTAGATCTAGAGGCTTACATTCATTCTTATTTTTTCCACTATCCTCCTTTCTCATATGATCCTAACTCTAGGGTTGAGTTCAAGTGAAAATGATGCTTAGTGAAAGAAATAAGGATGCATCTTAGCCATACAATCCGAACATCCAACGGTCAAAAAAAGTCCAACTTTTAATACTCATTAGGGTATTTTAGACATTATACAATCCTCAATCACATATTCACTAGTGAGCCCCACCCCACCCCACCCACTCAACTTCCTCTCTATCTTTCACTCATAACACACACACGCACAAAAATATCTCACCTACACACAGGCCCGATTTCACCTCTTTCTCTGCCGGCCAACTTCTGCCGCCGCACAGCCTCCACCGCCTCGCAGCCTCCGATCGCCGGCGCACGCCGCCACCGTAATCTTTTCCCAGCGAATGAGATCATCTTCCACGGCCATATTCTCTCCAACATCAACGGACGTGATTGTCTTCCTCGATCGTCCACCAACTCCACCGCCGACATCACCATCCCCATCACTGCGGTCGCACACCAAACACACCAGGACCGCTACCGTGACTCCATTATCACTCCCAATTTCGCCGTACTCGCTCACAAAATGAAGCCCTAGGTCTGCCAATTTTAACCACCTCGACCACCAGACACAATGCCACAAGTTTCCGGCAACGGCGGCAACAGGTCTGCGCATATTTACTTATAAATTTCCAATTATTCATTTGAAAATATATCTTTTTTTTATATTTTATATAAAAATAATATAAAATATTAAAATACTAAATATGCGCATTATATTGACTATGAGATTACACTCGCATTTATAGATGTATTATTGTGCATTTAATTAGGTAATAATGTGCATTTAATTTGACGTTATTGTGCATTCCGAAGAGCTAAAGTGGGTTCTGAAGCGCTAATAGCGGTATATAAGATCCGACAAAAACCGAAAAAAAGAAGACCGAAATCACCTAAGAAAAATTGGTTTCTTTTTTTATATCAGTTCGATTATTGATTTTTTCTTTTTATCGTTGTAGTTAAGTTTGGGGTAAAAATTGCGATTGGTTTTGTTTTTTTCTAAAATTTCGTCTCGTTTATTTCAGTTTTGACATTTCAGTCGATTGAGTCGACCGAAATGACATAGGAACTGCCTTAAATGCGGTGGCATTTTAGTAAATTTGTTAACTTATAAATATATAAGATGTAACAATTCATTAATTTCGTAATAATATGACGAATTTCATAATGTGCATGTTCTTACACAATATCGTGCGTTTTATGTAGTATTATTGCGCATGACTCGAACTTTATAAAACTACATATTTACCTCATGTACTAAAATAAAATATATTGAAACTTATGAAATTGCAAATAAGTCCTCAAAGTTTATCTAATTTTTAAAGAAAAAACCCCATAAATTAATTACTGAATCTCTGAAAATTGTTTGTAATCCTGCGGGCGAGTCGCCAGCGATGTCGCAGATTTAGGCGAACTCATTGTCGTCATGTCAGCGGACAGATGTAGGGCCTTCGTCAAGACTGGTAGGTGTTGGAATAGGGTGTGAAATATTGTTGGGAGGGAGAGCATACGGCGACCGAGAATGAAATTTGTGGCGTCGGGCAGTGGGACCAGAGTGTCTTATGGTCTGGTGGATGCTGGCGGCTGTGATGGGCTGTGGTTGCAACTGGTTGGTGATGATGAGAAACGTGCTCACTCGGATCGATTTCTCTTTTCTTTCCCCTCTGCAACTCGCCATGAATACCGGCGCGATGGCGGTTGACGGTGGTGGCTGCAGGTATGGTGGCGGCGGTGATGTCATCGACGGGTTGATGGCGGCGGTTGGTTGAGGTCGCGGCGGGGCTCATGGTGGCTGCGGGCATAGCAGATGCGTGCAGAGAGAGAGAGAGAGAGAGAGAGGTAGAGAGGTGGGTGTCGTGTTGGTGGGTGGGCCCACTGACAGTTGGTGCATGTGTGGTATATGTGAAATGTCCAATTTGTCCTTACTAAGTGGTTACATGTATACATTTGACCCTAAAATGTCCATTTATTTACGATATTACCACCACATATTTGATATTATTTAAATAAATTTGACTTCATCATAACCATTGATATGCTATATCCGATGATCCACATTCATTCTTATTTGTTTCACTATCTTCCTTTCTCATTTGGTCTTATATATATATATATATATATATATATATATATATATATATATA